GAAGAGGAAAATTTCTCCTTGAGAAAACACACCTGCTCTCTCTAGTTTCTTTCACCTATGGAGAGCCGTGGCACTCCTCTTCAGTCTATTGTTTGTATGCTGCAGTGACTCAAGGGTTCTGCTAAAACTCATGTTGAATGTAAGAGTAATGTGAATATAGAATTACGAAGCCCAGTGTGGCATGGTTTGTTATTGTTTTGCATTTATTTTGTAGAACATGAAACTCAACAGAGCCGCTTCCCAGCAGTTTTTCAATGACAACCCAGTGAGCTTGTTCCGTCAGTTGCCTTGTTCAAATGGGAGATGGATGCATGATTTTGCTTTTCAGACCCCAAAGCAATGCACATTTGGCAAGGACTAGGAGTCACCATGAAAACAAATCCATTTTTCAAGGGTGACACATTTTGTATTTATTCCAATTTGGAAATGTCTTCCAGTTTGGAGGAAAACATAAAGAAATTCCCTAGGAGGTGTTTTGAAATTTAATTAAAAAGAAGTTTGAAGACACACCCTCGTGCGTTGCACTTGTAAATATGAGAATATCAGGAAGTCACACAGAGATGTGAGTGTTCTCATCCCGATGTTGGGGAACTCCGGTTGGGAACTGTGTATATTGATCTTCTGACAAAATAGCAGTGTGCCTCTTCTGCACAACTGGGCCCTGTGGGTAACTTCTGTGCAGTGTATTCATAGGAGGAAAACCTGATATTTTAAATTCTCCTCCCTTCCTCTGGGAGGCTGCTGTATACTCAACACAAACCCTTGCTTCTTGTACTTATAGGGCTGGAAGCGTGCCCATTAAACCAGGGGCCGAAACACAAAGGGCACTCTGGTGAGTGGTTTAGATAACTTGGAGCCCTCACTCTCCAAGCTTCTTGTGACTGGACGAAGAGAATGGCCTGGCATGGGAGTCTGAAATACTCAACACCCCTGGCAGACGTTTTGTTCAACTCTGCTCTTCGGTGGATTCATCAGAAACAGAGAGAGCCTTTAAATTCTGTTCAACAGTATTTAGTGAGCACCTGCTATGTGCTAATGCTGTTATCTCGTGCTGGATGGTACATACTAAATAAGACCATATGTTCCTGCTCTTAAGAAGTTCACAAAACAATTGGGGAAATAACATTGGCAACGTGGAAGGAATAGTACTATTCTTAAGGAGTTAACCCCAGAACACATGATAATGTAATTAATTGAAGTAATACCTTTAGACTTTGGAATCTTAGTAGCTATCTGAAATGTTCCATAGACAGTCCTTAGGAGTAACTTACCACCTGGTAGTGTTTTGCGAACTGTATAAATGGAACCTTTGATAAGAGTCTTGTTCTTAACACCTTCTGGGTTATTAAATAAAAGGAAGTGCTTTGAATGTTTTTGACCCTTAATTGGGGATGATCACTATCCTGGGAACATCCTGGGAACACTTAGAACTCTCAATAAAAGTATATCCTGTTAGTCCTGGCCAATGTGGTTCAGTGGGTTGGGCATCATCCCATACACCAAAAGGTTGCCAGTTAAATTCCTGGTCAGAGCACATACTCAGGTTCAGGCTCCAATCCCAATAGGAGGCGTGCAGGGGGCATAATCGATATTTCTCTCTCTCCCTTCTTTTCTCTCTCTAAAAAAAAACCCCAATAAAAATCTTTTTAAAAAGTATACCATGTTAAAAAATAAAGCACACTCTGTTTATGGGAGATAAACCCTCTGAGATCCAACACATTGTTTCTGTCAACAGCTGGTTCTATTTTTCCATGGACTCTGTGGCCATAGGGAAAAATATCAGTTAAACTGTAAGATACCCAATTAAACTTTAGATTATTCTAAAGTTAATACCTTGTGATAATGTGTTTCAGAATTTCTTACAAAACTCATTGACTATGTTTAAGCACATACAATCTATTTAACCATATTTTATTATTCAATGAGTTGACTATAAGGTAAAATTGAAGTAATACTTGACTTCATTCTCTTTGGGGTTCAATATATAGTGTATCAGGAAGAGCTTTTTGATTTTATAAAGACTGATTCTCTTGGCACTTGTAGAGCAGATACAGAAAGTTTAATAGCTGCTTTGCTCAACTGGTACTCAGAATAGTTAATGGAAAATTAAAACTGAGTTCTTAACCGTCAAGGTATACGCTTATGCTTTCTGCCAAGAAAAGCTCCAGTTTCTCCACATTTCTCTGTTGCTGCCTGCATTCCAAACTAATTTTTGTAACAAGGAAGGGAGATGGCAATATTGACTTTCAATATTTTCAGCACCAGTAATGTCAACACTGATCTTGGTTCATATCTTCATGTAGCTCTGAATATGTTAACTGCAGTATAGGCATAGTGCTTTAGATTGCACCTGTTTTACATCAATGGCTGGGAACATACAGAAGAAAGGCATGGGGTTTTCACATTTAAGTATCACCATTTGTCTTGGGAGTTAGACTCCACAGTGTCCTTAAATATATATTTGGTACCTAATGAAATACCAAATTTCTGTCTGAATTCAATTTGAGGAAGGTAATAGAAAGTTAGCAGGTTACATTTTATTTTCTTAATTCTATAATACTTAGCCCAACTTGTCTTTGTTTCATAAACATTACTTAAGTAAGGGATGAACCAAATTCACTTAGACTGTAATTTGTTAGGAGTTTATTTACATTTAAACACTCACTATCTTAAATCACGTATTTCAGTTTTTCTTTCATAGAAAAGAGCAAGGATATAAAAAAATGACAATTTTTGTTTCAAAATTTTTTTTGCTTCCTTCATCTTTTCACTCCATTCCCTCATCCTATGATTTTAGTGCTAGAGACCTAGGGTAATAATTGCATTAGTAATGCTTTGGTGAGAATTGGTAACTATAAGTCCCTACATTCCCTCTTCCCCCTTTTCTTTTCAGGCATGGGCTATTTGTGAGGAAAAAACCGTAGAAGATGACTTGAATCTGATGCTTCCTTGATTTAATGTCTAAGTAATTACTAAACTAGAGTTTAAAAAAAACATATTTTTCATGTGACAAACTTATAAGGATCTGGTGCAATCTTAAGATTTAGAATTGCAGGCAGGGTTTGGTAAAATGTGGTTATATCTGCTTTTAAGACACTCCAGACTAGTTGCTTTATATGGGTTTGATGTATTGGCCTTAAACTTCTGAGTATTCCTTAGGTGTAGAAACCATCTCCAACAAATTCATAAGTGAAGCTAAGCACAAATTCTCGTATTTCTTGCTTACATAGGTTCAAAATTCTTACCAAGAAATAGTAAGATGGGTCCTGTTTTGAAGGCAATGGGACTCAAATAAAAATGTAAGTTCAATGCTAGAATACTCCTTCCCAAAACATTGTCCTTCTCACATCCAGCTCAGACTAATCGCCCCGTTATTTTTTTCCTTTTTAAAATGTTCATAGATTTTTGTATCATTTCAATAGTTTCTGACTACAGTGTTTAGTTGTTTCATGTCTATGAATCTGTAAGCTGCTCACTGGAACGAGGGAGTATTGAGGGCAGTTATAGTATTTGATTTCTCGTGCCTCCCAAACATCTTATAAATATCTACCAGGATATTCGGCATAAACAGAATGCTTCCTGAACATGCGCTTGCTTGATTCCTAGGCTTTTTGTTCTGTTTTTCTGATGTGTCCTAAGCAGGGGTGGGGAAACTTCTTTCTGCCAAGGGCCATTTGGATATTTACAACATAATTTGCAGGCCACACAAACTTATCAACTTAAAAATTAGTCTGCCTTATTTGGTCAAACATTTATTTAACTCACCGTTAATGCCTTGGCAGGATCAGACCACATGATTTTGCGGGCCTTCTACAGCCTGCGAACCAGAAGTTCTCCACCCCTGCTGTAGACAGTTACAGAAAAAAATATTCTGTACAAGGAAAGTTGTTTGTGTTTTCAATTGAACATAGAGGTAGGAACAAGTAGGATGATACTCAAAATGGAAAAGGGATTGCATGTGATGTTGCGCCCATGTGGTTTGAAACCGTGGTAGAACAGGAAAGCAGTCTTCACAGCGAAGGCCCTTTGAGTTGTCACGTATCTCCCAAACATAAATCTCTCTCCTTTCTCTGGTTAGAAACATTAATAGGTAGAATGCTCAAATAGCTCTCTTACGCTTGTAATTGTTACCAATAGGAACAAGCTCTCATAAATCAAACTTTACATTGGTTAAAATTACCCCTGTCCTTAAGGTTCCTGATCTGTTTCTCTCCTCCCGCCCCCTTTTTTTCCAGCTCTGGCTGACTCTCTGGATTATGTATCATTAATCTTTTCTCCTGACTTTCTCTCTCTCTCTCTCTCTCTCTCTCTCTCTCTCTCTCTCCTCTCTCTCTCTCTCTCTACTAAGAACTTCTACTAAGAACTAAGATCAGTTAGTTGGGATGTCATCCTATGCATTGAAAGATTGCAGGCTCAATTCCTGGTCAGGTCACATGCCTGGGTTGCAGGCTCAAGCCCCATTGGAGGGTGTGCAGGAGGCAGCCAATTGATGTTCTGCTCTCACATCAATGTTTCTCTCTCTCTCTCTCTCTCTCTCTCTCTCTCTCTCTCTCTTCTCCCCTCTCTCGTCTTCACTTCAAATTGGACGTATTTCAGGAAATGATGTCTAGGTAGTTGAGCTATTCTATTGAATTGAACTTAAATTTTGGATGAACTACATTTTAAGTGATTTTAAACTTAAAGCTAATGTGAAAATGTTGGACTATGTACCAATATAAATATATTAAACTTAAGGCCATATCAAACACAGTGTAAAAATTACAGTGTGTTCCTTCTACTATAAATCTTGCAGGACATAATTCACCTTCTGAGTCGTGATGTAATTTAGATTATATTTTATTAGACATTCTTTACAAATTTAAAATACTGCTATTTTTACATGCACAGAGGAAAATCAGGTTGGATAATTATATTTAGGAATTCATGAAAATCAACCACAAAATAGAGACACTTTATTGTGTCATTTATCAACATACTTGATATGTATATCTAAAGTGCATTATGTTACAAAAAATATAGAAATTCAGCAGCACCAAGATACATTTACAAAATAAATACATCAGTTGACAAAATAAATTATGGTAAATGTGATAATAATAATTGGATTAGCCTTGGAAAAAATATTCACAATGACCAATGTGCAGTTTCATAGAGCAATGAGGGAGACAGTTTTATTCCAATGCATTTACAGTATTTACAGACAATAAATATTTCTAATACTTCCCATATGTTCACTATTACAGAATGCTGTAATATGTCTTCTGAAGGTCTTTGCAAAAATTTCAATGCCTCCTGAAAAGAGAAGGAAGGGAAAGAAGAAGAGAAAATAGGTTAATTATTCTTACAAATGAAGAGACATAAAATAAATGGTATAAATTAAGGAACATAGGATCACATAGAAATAGATCTAAGGACCCTTTGTAAATATCTCTTACAAGAGGTAACTGGGGTTCCATCTGACTCTCTAAAACCTCTACCACAGTCATTAATCCATCCAAATGGTCAATGCAGAAAGGCTTGCATTTCTAAGTATTCTCTGTCAGAAAAAGGAGATCCTGTGAGATTTTCCAAGGCTAACAATTGGCAAGTTTGGGAAGGGAAGGCACACACTTGGGAATCTGGAAATAAGGCTAGGTTGTGCAATCCATCATGCTTAGAAGTTTATTCCGCAGTGATACCTAGTGTAGGTGATCACTGGTGTCTTATTTTTCCAGGTTTGCACTTGGCCAATCTCTTGCTAAGATAATGGGCTGTTGTGAGGGTAATCAAAAGTGCGTGACTAAGGTATATGTTGAAGGATGCATAATTAAACAGATTATGTTTGGCTAATGATTTGATGACATCTATCATTTTCTTAACTGTCCTTAAACACTAATGAACGAAACTGTCATTGGATTTTAATTTTTGAAGCCAAAATTAAAATAGAATTATTTGTTTATTATTTTGCTGGTTTTTTTTTAATGGATCTTGCATTGAAAATTTGGAAAGCCTATTTTAAATTAGATAATAAGAATCAATTGATTTAAAAGTATAAAATAGCACAAGCAAGGATGGAATGAATAGCATTTTGAACAATTATTTTCTTAGAAAAGAAAAAAGGAGCAAATTAAAGGGCCAAAAGAAAGATCATTTAATATATTTTACACTGCCCAGTCAGTTTGCTTGTTATCCTTCCTTTCGATTTCCCTTTCATAAAGACATGTATTAGAATAGCCAAGAAAAACATAAAACATGACCTAGAAATATATGTGCATGTCTATTATACATGTGTGATGCTTTAGAGTCCTAGCTCTTTTGAATACTGAAAACTTTTATATTATTTCTAAATCTATATATACCAAGGCAAAACATATGTTTTCAATGAGATGAGTCCTACTGAATCTGGACATCTTATTTGCAACATCAAAATTTAAAGTTATGTATTTCCCACAGAGTGGTCCATGAAGTGCCAGACAGTTTTTGCTCAGCAATTTCTACTAAGAACTAAGATAGTTATTATAATAAAGTTCATCGCTTGCCATTTCAGACCTCTCAGATAATCATATAATAATGCAAAGACTAAAGAGAGGATAATAAACGTTTAGTTGCTTATAAAACTTTAAAGTAGTTATTCTGAAAAGATTCTATTTGTACTACAAAATTTACATGGCCCCAGATGTTCTCATCAATACACTGCTAAATCTCTCCACTCTTCTCTGCACCTCTGTTGGGTTGTATTGGGAGAGTGCCAACATCTGGCTGCCAAACAAACAGTGCTTTCCATGAACGTTCCTCACAACCAGGGAGTAGAAAGGAGAAGCAGAAACATTCTATTTCTTTCCGTCCTAAGTCTGGATTTAATTAGGCCACTGCCTAAGTTTTACTAGCTCTACTTTAACATAAGGATAACTTTGGAATAAGAATTGACGAGTGCTGATTTTCATTAATTCTCTGGATACTTAAGAGCATTGCAAATTGTAAACGTATAAAATCCATAAAAGTATGTATACTTCTGAGAGAGAGAGAGAGAGAGAGAGAGAGAGAGAGAGAGAGAGAGAGAGAGAATGGGTAAAAATAGGTTCTGGCAATAGAGGCCTTGCATTAGTTATAAATAAGTACAGTTAGGATCATATCTTAAAGTACACTGAATACCTGCATTGAGCCAACATGTATAAGGCCTGTTACCCCTCACAGATGCATGAGACACTGGCAACACAGGTCATTCACTGCGCTAATGATTTCACTAGTGCCACTGCCCATTAATTCCTGAAGCTGTACTACTAATCCAATATAGTTATCATTTTATACGCTATTTAACTCTGGGTTTTATTCACTTAACTCAAAGAGAGACGTGATGGTAAATAGGTTCAAACTCCCCTTTGAAACCTCACTCTGTGGTCCTATCTCTAGTGAGAAGGAACAGGGGACCCCTTAAATAATGAGATCATCAGCTGCATAGGATGCATTCGTGTGTTGTTTTCCTCTTTCTTTCCCATAGAAGTGCTGTACTGGAAAGTAAAAAAAACAAAACAGCTCCTATCAGTGGAAATGCATAGATCAAGGGGCAGCACTAATAGCACTGGCCTAAGTGCCAGGAAATGGGGAAATAAATCCAGTCCTGAGGACTACCTATTCCAGTTCCCAGGACTGCGCAGGTCCTTTCACCGAGGAGTGCCTTGGTTTTTCTAGGTTATAAAATGCAATTACTATTTGCCCTTTTTTGCCTCACAGAAACACACACACACTAAAACAGATAGGTAGAGTGAACAATCAGAGCCATGCCTAAAAGGGCCAAAACAACAAGTTGCAACTTATTGTTTACTCTATGACAGGCATTTAACCCATGCAATCTCATCTCATCTTTATCCAACCCAAAGAGGTTGGTACAATTATTATCTTCATTTCAGAGAAGAGGAGAGTGAGTCTTAGAAAGACTAACTAACTTGTCCAAGGTTTTGAACTTTAACGTTTAGACCCCAAATTTAAAGCTAAGGTATTTGGCTCCAAAGTCTGTGAATGCCATTACTACCTCCAACTATGAGCTAAGGACAAACCAGCCACATAGTCGTGAAGTTTTATTATTCTTATTGCAATATCCTAGAAAACTTTCTCAATTTGCCAGTGGACAAATAGATACATGAGAAAAACATGTCCTTCCCAATCCAATACTTAAAAATTTCCAGAAATCATGATTTTTTTTTCTTATAAACTGGTAGAAACCAGAGTTAAATTTAAATAAACGTAAAGTGTATGTTTAATATAAAATTTAATTACATAAACTTAATTAAATAAAATGTGAATGTCTCAGGATTATTTATGGTAAGATACTGATCTATAGTTTTTGTAGAGCATATCAAAGCCTTTTATGTCCTCCCCTGAAGAGAAAAAAAAAAGTAAGAAATGAAAAACGATCAAGAAAGTTTGTTAAAGTGTGAGAGGAGGGGAAAATACATGTCTTGAGCAAATAATGAAGGTAAGCCTTAGCTTCGGAAGCTTGAATAAGAAATGAAGTTATTTAGTGGAGTACTAAAATATTGGTGTTGGAGAGCGAGATGAAACGGGTTAGAAAGCCCCATGCTATGGGGGCAGGAGGACAGTGCTGGAAGTCAGACAATGTTCTGAGTCATCTTGGTTTTGCAAGGTTTAAATTGTGGAGTGACTGATGGGGGCAGAGGGCTGGAGGAGGGCAGGAAGGTTTGTCCAGGCCAAGGCAGAGGGAAGCTGCACCCCCCCTGCTGAGAGCGCAAAGGAGAGGCTCTGGGCCAGGAAGCCAGTTACCGGAAAGCGAGCTCCAGCGATGTCCCAGAGATGTCAGACAGGTGGTCCCCTTCCAGCCCACTCCCAGCCACGCCAGCCTGTCGCCAGGCCGATCGAGTCCGCCGCTTCTTCTTTTCCTGCTCCTTGCGTTTTCCAGGCTTGCCTTTCTTTTTCTTGCCGGGTGTCTTCAGTGGCTGCTCTTTGTATGTCTCCACCTTGTTGGTTTCCTGAGTTAGGTACCGGCCCTCATCGTCAGACCCAAACCGGACGGGGTGGTTCTTTGTGTTGGGGGCAGGCTTGGCGTTGGGGGAAACCTCCGAGGTCGTTCTGATTTCAGCTGTGTGGATTTCTGCGATCAGGTTGTGAAGGAAGAACCGTCGCCGTAAGTCTTGGATGGACTTTCCCTTGTCATGGAGGAGCTGATGTTCAGACACGGCTCTTTTGCTTTAAAGGAAAAAAAAAAATAGCAGGAGAGAAAGGAAACAATGAAATGTTAGTTGTTGGTAGAAACCACTTAGACAGGAGGAATGCCCTTTAGTTTTCCAGTTGCTCCCATACAGGACACCGGCTGCAAGAGCAGCAAGCTCTGCAGCAGGGAAGGGGCCAGAGTGGAAGGGCAGGTAACAGCTGTGGCTCAGAGTACCAGCTTTGCTGCTTACCAGGTCTGTGACCTGGGTGAGAACACAAACATTCTTGGGCCTCCTGGTTCCATCTATTTAAAAGGAAGGGGTCAGATTCAGTGATTTCTGTGTTTCCTTTTCTATTTAAATATGATTCAGTTATTCTCAGAAATGGACAGAAACCACTGAACTGCTTTTTACATTTTCCAGAGCCATGGTGGGGAAATAAATCCAGAAGTCCTGGCCTGGGAAATAGAGAGGAGGCTGATTTTACCTGAGTACTTGCCCCAGGTGTGTGTGTGTGTGTGTGTGTGTGTGTGTGTGTGTGTGACCACGCGCGCGCGCGCACACACACACACACACACACAGCTCCCCCATTAAGAAAATAATCATACTGAATCTCAAAGAACAGCGAGCTGTAAGAGCAAAAGCAAACAAAGACTGAAGGATAAAGTGAGCAGTGAAGCCTGTCTAGGAAACTGCCTAACAGACTGAACTTTAACATATTAGACTACAGGCTACCAAGAACCTATATGTGAAGGGAAAGCACGCATAGTTTTCTGGAAAGTGCTGGGTGGTCTCTTTAAAATGGACTTCTTTGTGTGTTTAAATTAAGGGAGATCATTTTATTTCTTCTGTGCATCTTTTTTTTTAAAAATTAGGGATTTCAGAGGGTGTTATCCTTAGTACTTAGTTAAGAAATTCACTTTTTCTACTTGTTCTTTGTCTTAAAAGTATCTCCTCAAACATACATGATGTAATCTTTCTATTTAAACAACCATCTCATAAAAATATAGTGGAAAAAGAATAACCTAATTTGCTATCATCAATTCTTTTAGGTGACACCCTGGCTCTTGCTTAACCACCCACCCATGAATTCTTCTCTTAGTCTGTGTATATGGTATTAAACATATTTAAGGATGACATACATTAGTCAGTCATTATGCCAATGTCAACTGTGCCTATGTCTGCCATGGACATAAACCTCTGGCCAAAGTGGTTCATTTTCAAAGGTCTCTGAGGGTACTTCACAGGGCTACCTCCCATGTACCCTTACTCTCCTGACACAGTGGCATCTGGGTCCCTTATTGCTTTCACTAGTACAAGCTTCTTTACCTCCTCAAAGAAATACGACAATAACGAATAGCACTATCCTCCTTTTTACAGATGGGGAAGGTGAGGTGTAGAGAGAGAAAAATGTCCCACCTTTGCCCACACAATGAAACCAGGCAGAGCCAGGGTCCCACCAATGAGTTCTTTTGATTCACAACCAATTGCTTTTTACCTTCCTCAACCCTTTCTCCTACTGACGCTGATGTTTTTTTGAGAAAACATGAAAGAAAAGGCAGAGAGTGAAAAACCTGTGGTGGGAACCATGACAATGGGCAAGTGGACAGCAATCTATCACTTTCCTTGAAGACCAAGCTTATTGCCCCAAAACATCAATTTTCATCACCAAAACAAAGAACTGGGAGACCTAGAGTTTGAATTTTCACTGAGGGAATGAGAAATTGTCTAGTTATACTGTGAATCAAAGAATGGTAAACCATGAAAAAACATTCATTATTTCTCTGGACCTTCTAGCTAGAATGCCAACTTCCTTTTAGTATTTCAGTGCATGGACTGACTTTAAGCCATGAAGCTTGTTCAAAAAAAAAAGACATGACTTAATGGAAAGGAATTTAACAGGAGCCCGGTTTAAATGAGGCATGAAGGAGTCTCTCTTCCTTTTTGAAGGTGCCACATGTGACTAGATTAAAATTCACTTACTTTGTGGCAATAGTTAGTATTCTGGAAACTTTTAATAACCTATAAATTTGAGGCTTTGGTATAATACATTCATATCCTCTAATATTTTTTAAAGAATAGGACTGATATAATTGTATATTTCATAAGTATTGCAGTTTAATAAGCATCTTTTAGCAAAATGTCACATTAAAAAGTTCTTAACCAACGTTCCTTTATAGTATTTAGTTGTTTTATTTCTTTCTGGATTCCTGGCAGATATCCACCCCATCTGTATTGCTCTCCAAATGTATAATACAACCCATTCTAGCTTAACCTGAAGCCAAAACTTTTAATGGTTGGCCTGATCTAATCAAGCCATATTGCTCATGCCCCCTGTGACTGGCATATATGCCTGTCATCTTGGCCAGCCTGTCAACTGTGAGTCACAGTGCCCTCCTAATTCAAGGCCTGCACTTTCCCAGGATGGTTCTCATGGGAAAAGGAGGGATCATTCTGTCCTTCTCTCTCAGAAAAAAGCCTACAATATGGCACAACTCTGTCCCGTTTAAAACAGAATATCTCTTGTGAGGTATAAAAGTTCTCTCTGCCAGTTAGGGGTAATTGCTAATATATTAGAAAAATGCAGCTTTTCTTCAATGCTAAATCTGAAATGTTACAGAATTCACTTAGTGGTTCAAAGACTTCTGTATGTAAACAAGTGTGAAGAATGAATGTCTAACTGGGCAACTGCATTAGAGGATCAGGATTATAATAGTATCTTTATTCCTTAATAAGGAATAAGGTCCATAGAATGTTCTATTTCTTTTCAAAATAAGACAGAAACTGACACAAGGATAAAGGACTAGTCTGTACGAACCAGATACACATAGTTAATGAGTAGTGCATTCAAATTCAGGAGGATTTCAATTTAGATGATCCTGAAATGTTGAAGTTGTAAATATGGCCTCAATACTAGTCTGCTACTCTATATGCCTGTAAACATTACATAGCACAGTGGTTCACACGGAACTTATTACATACCTAAGCCCCAACATGGAAAAACAAGTATGTTATATTCATGGTCTCCTTTGCTTATTGTAAAAAAAATGTAAAAATGTGGGGGAACTGCTTAACATAGATAACTCTAAATTCAGTCAAAATATAGCTGTTTTAAAGAAAAATCACCCTCAAGGGAGTTTTCAGGGAAGATTGAATTTCTAAAGAACTATCAAGGAACTCGGGGAGTAAACAGAGTGATGGGAATTCCTCTCCCAGCAGAGGAAGCAGCAGTTTGTGCAGATGCTAGGCTCCTGAAGAAGAAGTCTGAGTTTGAGAAGAAAAGTTCTGTGGTACAAGGAAGACTCAGGGTTAGGGTGTTAGAGTTAAGATGACTCACCAGAAGTCCCTTCCAACCCAAATGACTCAGTCCAAAGTTATGCTTTTCATTAAGCGGAAGAGACCCAGTCTGGTTCCCCAGCAGATCAGCCAATGATTTTTTAGATTTCTGAATCTGTTGGGGTTCCATCTAACTTAAACACAAAGGTTGCTACCTGTTGCAAGCCATATTCATCTGGACAGTAACACCTATAGGTCTGACTTTCAAGCTCCAATCTACTCATGCTTTAGCTTCGTTAATTAAAGTCTTTTGGATTCACAGTTCCAAAGGTTTCACAAACCTGTATTGTCTCTTTTGCATAGCTCTACAGTGTTATTAGTGTAGTAGTAGTTTCTTCTCCTTTAAAGGTTAGCCCCTAGTTAGAAAACCATCTAAAGCAATTTCCCTAATACTTGGTGTGAAAAGTAACTAGGAAGTAACATGGTTTGATCCTATGTTAAAATTTCTTTCAAGAAATTAGGCTTATTTAGCATAATAGAGGACTAATGTTTTGTTTTATTGTTACTTGGCAGCAAGGCAAAAATAATGACTTGTTTTTTAAACTCCATTTGGCTATAATAATTTGATGAAGCGTCTTCATCTACTGATTTCAGATGAAAAAAGCAACAACATGGCTGTGATGTGATGATCTATTAGCCATTAATTATAAGAATGTTCTGTGGTAGTTTTACAACCATCTGTTGAGTGTGAGTGTTTGAATACAATATTATATTTCACCCACAAACAAAACTATAACAGAGTCTTTGGCTGCTAAATGGTTTTTTAAAATGTGTATTTTGCAAGGTGCAACAACAACAAAAAGAGTTAAAAATAGCCTTTAGGACAGTTAGCACTATTTTAATGCCATAACTGTGGATTTAATCATGGTCCATTTACTGTTTCTCAAAAAAGAAAACAGGTATTTCTTAAGCAACTTTAAAGAAAAATTGGCTGGATTCCAAGACAGTATTTCTTGGCCAAATAAATACAGTATTTAAGTGTGCTTTTTAAAAATTCACTCTTCCAAAAAAAAATTCATTCTTTGTCTGTATTTATATATGGATTTTAAATAACAGAATTTAATACAAATCTCAAAATGAGCAAAAAGCCTGAAGATAATTTTCAGAAATACATCCACAAAACGTCGATTTGAAGAATACAATGCAGCTTTATCTGCAGTACAATGTTCTACACAATTTGCCTTAGGAAATTCATAATAGATTTTCATTTTGGTGCCAAGGTTCAGACATGTCTACAGTGATTTCATTTAAGGATTTTCTGCCCTCATAATAATAGATCAAGGGGCTGTATATAACTGTTGCCTGTTTGTACCCCTTTGGGAATTCACAAGGAAGCACCAGGAACTTGATTGTAAATATCAGATGCTGCTATTTTTACTGTAGTGTAAAAGTTCCCCTTAATTCCTTCTCCAGAGGCAAACTCTTCTCAGTCCTCAGACTTTATGGTTTTCTCATCCTGAACACTGAGTCTGCAGTTTAAAGATACCCAAAGACAGTGTTACACACGTTAGTGAACAGCTAGGTAGGTCCAAGAGATGATGAAGATAGTATTACTCTACCACTCTCCCATCTTTGCAGTCAGACAACATAGTGATATTTATCTCCTGTACTCGGATAGATGATTATTTTAAAGTCAAAGTTATCCTTAAAGGGATCACCAAATGAGAAGGCCAGAATACAAGTTTTCAGTCTCCAGTGCAACACCCATAGACCTGTGGCTCCAGATTAAAGAACTGTTAGCAATAATTCCCAGAAGAAAAGTCTCCGCACCTAATACTCATTTGGAACCAAGCACGCCAGCATTGCTGAACTGTATCAATCCTAAAGCTGGAATTGTGCCATTGCAAAGTTGTTACTACTTTCTTATATAATATGCCTTCATTATGTAATGTGGTCCCATTTTATATGCTTAAAATTATGTCATTCATTATAAAAGTGGATGCAAGGTTTTTGCTTTTCACACACCAATTGCCACCCACATTCAGTATGTACAGACGTGCACACAGACGTATGCGCTCCCCTGGATCCCTCATCTTCCTCTTGGATGCCTCAGGGTTTCAAACCCCAAAAAGCAACTTTTTTCTTTCACTAGAGGCAGAGAATCTTTGCTTAGAGGAGATTCTGTTAAAAGAAAAAAAAAAAATACAACTCCAGAACGCTCCCTCTCATGGAAACTCACATCAAATGTGTCTCTTGCCTGTCTTTCCTGGAGGTTCCCCAGGCTCCCGCTGGGCTGGAGGACCGGGCTCAGCCCCCAGCAGGTAGCCTGTCCTCCCCGCTCGCTACACTCGGGCGGGCGAGGAGCATCCCTGACCGCCTTGAGCCCGGGCAGCGCCCCAGCCTGGCGGCCTCTCCCCCTGGCCTCCCCAGCCCTCTCCTGGCGCCCTGGGGAGGACGGGGCACTTAC